ACCTTAAACCCTAAACCTTAAACTCTAAGCCCCTAAAACCCTAAACCTTAAACCCTAAACCTTAAACTCTAAGCCCCTAAAACCCTAAACCTTAAACCCTAAACCTTAAACTCTAAACCCTAAACCCTAAAATCACCGCACTACCGGCCGGCCTCTGTCAAGGAATGTGACTGGGAGCTACCTGCAACAGCCACCATGGAGCTTCAATGACCCAGGGTTTGGGTTTAGGGTTTAGGGTTTAGGGCTTAGGGTTTAGGGTTTAGGGTTTAGGGAGTTCATTTAATTTGCTATAATAGGGATCTATAGCCAATAGAATGGCTTCCTTATTATGGTAACTTACATGGTGCAGGTGCCGCCAGATCTTGCAAAGAGAGGGTTTAGGGTTTAGGGTTCAGGATTTAGGGTTTGGGGTTTAGGTTCATGGGTAGTCATAGGATGTGGGTTATAATTATAGTCACCCTACTTATAACCCTACTTACAACTACCCATGAACCTCCAAGAAGGCATCAACCCGGCCATGATGACAACAGCTCTCATGGAAATTGCCCGCAAGTATTCTCATCATGACGATGACTCTTGATCTGTACTTGGGGATTACGCCCTAAACCCTAAACCCTAAACCCTAAACCCTAAACGATTACAAAGCTCATCAAAGCTCCAACTTTATGGGCTTCTACAATAAGTAAGAAACTCTAGGGTCCCAAACTCTTGTAAGCCCGTAGGGTTTAAGGTTTATATAAACCCTAAACCCTTAACCCTAAGCCGGGTTGAGGGTCGACTCGGAGGCCCAGGGGACTTAGTAAGTCGATTATAAGTAGGGCTATACCTGGGGTAACCCCAGTTAGGGTACTTATAACTCTACCTAGAACCTACTTACTAAGTTTTCTGGGGGCTTGAACCACAAGAGGCGGGCCCAAGCCGCAGACACGCAAGCGCTTTAGGGTTTTGGGTTCAGGGCTCAACCTTTGGAAACTTGGCACACGTGCCTGCTGGTTGAAAGGATTAGCTTGGTATGTCTTTACGTGTGAGCTGCTCACCCTAGAGCCCAAACCCCAAAGCTCTCAGCCTACACCACATAACCTCTGAAGCATAAACCCTACAACTCTGAACCCTAAACCCTAAGAACCCACAACCCTCAGCCCTAAACCCTAAACCCTAAACCCTCAGAACCCACAACCCTCAGCTTAAACCGCAAAGCCCTGAAGCCCTCAAACCTAAACGCGCAGCGTTCGCTTGGGTCGCTGCCCGAAGACAGCTGGCCCGGATAGCCCTCATCTTCTAGGCACACGACCTGCACGGAGCTGGTACTTGTAAGGGTTTAGGGTTTAGGGCTTAGGGTTTAGGGTTTAGGGCTTAGGGCTTAGGGTTTAGGGCGTGAGGATATGTCTAACTTACCGGCTTCTGCTTTAGGGATAAGGGAGTCGGCTTCAGGGTTTCGGGGCCAGGAGGGAGGGCTTCAGGGCTTAGGGTGGAGAGCTTTGAGTTTAAGGTCTAGGATTTAGGATCTTTGGCTTCAGGTTTAGGCTGGAGGTTTGGGGTTCAGGGTTTAGGGTTTAGGGTTTAGGGTTTAGGGTTTAGGGTTTAGGGTTTAGGATCTTCGGGTTTAGGTTTTAGGGTGGAGGGTTTAGGGTGTAAAGGGTTTAGGCCGGAGGGTTGGGGTTCAGAGTCTAGGACTTAAGACTTGGACCGTTTTGGGGTCAGAAACCACTTGGAGGCCCAGGGGACTTAGTAAGTAGGCTAAAAGTAGAGTTATAAGTACCCTAGTTAGGAGTTACCCCAATTATAACCTTACCTATAACCGACTTACTAAGTCCCCTGGGCCTCCAAGAATGCAGACCCAAATTTACTGCAGTTTGATCGCTTTAAGGTTTAAGGATTTTCGGGCTTAGGGGTTCTATGCTGCACGGTTTACTTGGAGGTTCATGTGTAGTTATAAGTAGGGTCATAAGTAAGGTACCTATACTTATAACCCATACTAGGAAACTTATAACCCCACTTGTAGCTACCCATGAACCTCCAAGTAGGGTCTATTGTTAGGAGATTAAGCTGAAGAGTGCTGGGCTATCAGGGGTCTAACAACGGCATGTCTGCCCGAGTAGGCTAGGATTTGTTGCGAACCTGGCCAGGCTACCGTAGGGGCCTTAATGCTCAGAATAGGGTTTTGGGCTCCGTTATGGTATTGTCATAATAGGGAACCCTAAGAGTAATATTGGTAATTATTTACCTGAACCGGGGCGCTTGGAGCTTGGAGGGTGCTTGCGGCCACTTGCGGCCCCTAGACTCAACGGACAATCCAAAATCTCTAAACCCTAAACCCTACACCACACAACCGCTAAACATTCGAAACCTGTTCGCTGCAAGAGGTACTTCTCAAAGCCTAAAGCCTACTCCCTAGCAGAAACACCTGTTAATGTAGGGGCCTTATTGATTAGAATAGGGTTTTAGGGGTTCCTTATTCTAATTTTAGTACAATGTACCCCAAGCCCTATTCGAGTTATTAAGGCCCCTATATTAATACAGAAAGTTTATCCTAAACCGTAAACCCTAAACCCTAAACCCTAAACCCTAAACCATAAACCCAAGCCAGGGCCTCCTCATGTTCGTCACTCAGACACGACCACATGGGGTAGGGCTGTGGAGAGACCTGCAGCAAGAAAGGTCGCGGTCGAACGTCAAGAGGGTTGAGGGTTTAGGGTTTAGGGTTTAGGGTCTAGGGTTTAGGGTTGAGGGTTTAGGGTCCCAAAGAGCCCCTTAAGTAAGGACAAGATGAATATAGCTTAAATCATAATAATAATCATCCCCTCATAGTTCAAGGTATATAGCTTAATTAAGGAATATAGCTTAAATCATGATATTAAGCCCCTTCTAATTCTAGCTTAAGGTGTATTGCTTAACTGAGGGCTCTCCGGGAAGAGGTCTCCTGACCCCCCTCACACAACCTCGGCGCTCGCATGCTCCTTCGGGTCTGCGTGGACTTCTGCGCCCCCAACCAACCCTCAATTCTACACAACTTACACCCAAGCTCCAAACCCTAAAACTGTATATATACACCCAAACTCTAACCGCTGAGCCCTAAACCCTAGATCCTGATAGAACCCTTAAAAGAACCCTTATAGAACATTTAACCCCTCACCCTCAACCCTAAGCCTGTCTCCAAGGATATTTATTCCAAGATGACCGGAGGAGGCAGCTGTGTCGTGAGGGCTTTTTTAAGTTTAGGCTTTCGGGTCTTAGGAAACTTAGGGTTTAGGGTTTAGGGTTTAGGGTTTAGGGGGGTTTGGAGTTGTAGAGGTTTAAAATGTTTAGGGCTTACATAGGGACTAATAGGGTTTTGGGGTTTTAGGGTAACCTCTAAACCCTAGACGCAACAAGCTCCAGTGCAAGAGAAGCTCTCCCTACTGCCTGCATTCAAGGCCTGGGCTGCCACCTAGTAAGGACCTCACCGGTTTAGGATTTACAGTTTAGGGTTTAGGGTGTAGGGTTTAGGGTTTAGGGTGTAGGGTTTAGGGTTTAGGGTTTAGGGGTTTTGGGTTTAGGGCCCCCAAATCCTAAACCCTGAACATTAACCCGTGTACCACTAGTCAAGATTAATAAGGAGACCCCCCCCCCAAATGATCAAAGGATACTACTAATAAGTCGACGGGATACCCGATCAAGCCCTTCAAAAACCCTTTAGAAACCCTTTCAAACCCTCAACCCTAAACCCTTTAGAAACCCTTGCAAACCCTAAACCCTTTAGAAACCCTTTCAAACCCTTCCAAACCCTAAACCCTGAAACCTTTAGAAACCCTGCCACACCCTAAACCCTAAACCCTTTAGAAACCCTCTAGAAACCCTTTCAAACCCTTTCAAACCCTAAACCCTAAAACCTTTAGAAACCCTGTCACACCCGAAACCCTAACTTTCAAACCGTATAAGAACCCAGACCCCCGGGAGGATCCAGAAAGTAGATCCCCTATTTTGGGACCCTATACTACTAAAGGGTCTTTATAGGAGCCCCCTTTAAGGGATCTACTTTTTGGATCCTCCCGGGGGTCTGGGAACCCTGATCCAATCGCAACAACCCTTGCTGGGGACCCGGGCAGGAAGCCCCAAGCACCCCCAAACAAAACGTACAGAAACCTTAAAGAGAGCCAAGCCCTACACCCGGTTTAGGGATTAGGGCTTATAGGGTTTAGGGTTTAGGGGCTTATAGGGTTTAGGGTTTAGGGCTTAAGGAACCAAACCCTAAACCCTACACTTCTATCAACCTAAACCCTAAACCTAAACCCTAAACCCTAAACCCTAAACCCTAAACTTCTATCAACTAACAGCTCAAGAGCCTCTGGCTGTCGTCGGGCCAAGGGCGGCGTGTCCTGGAAAGGGCGGGGCTTCGAGTCAGGGGTTCCAGAGTTTAGGGTTTAGGGTTTAGGGTTTAGGGTTTTGGGTTTAGGGTTTAGGGTTTAGGGTTTAGGGTTTAGGGTTTAGGGTTTACAGCATGGAGTGCAGGTTTGGCTCAAAGTTAACACCCAACGGCTCTTGGAGGCAACTGGGAAATCGAGTTCCTGGATACCTAAAACCTGCCTTATACTAACATGCACTTTTCTGCGCATGTGTACATTTGTGCACGCATGCATGTCTGCATATCTGTCTACATATATTTACATGCAGATTTGCTGGCTGCGTATCTGTTTGTCTGCCTGACTGTCTAGCTGCCTGTCTGTCTGTGTGTCTGTCTGTGGGTTCACGTGTGAATCTGTTTATATCTCTATCTGTCTATCTATCTATCTATCTATCTATCCACCTATCTATCTATCTATCTATCTACCTATGTACTATCTATCTATTTATCTATCAGCTTGTCTATGAACATAAACTCTGAAAGCATGATACAGTCCGAACAAGCAGGGGTATGGTCATGTGGTTGAAGGACATCTGTAACCTTAAATGGCAAAGTTGCAAAAGTCTATGTGGACATTGTTGCAGGTGCGCACTGCGTGCACCCAAGTTTACATACGGAACATGTGGAACACAAGGCAGCTGCTAAGGCCTAAAGGAGGTTGAGGTTTGGGGCTAAAGGGCTTAGGAAGCGTCTTTAACATGAAAGTATGCAACGAATGGTTGGCAAGTCAACCTGAAATATGCACGCCCTGACATGTTAGGGTTTAGGGTTTAGGGTTTAGGGTTTAGGGTTTAGGGGTGTATGCTCCATCCTGTGATGCATCCAACGAACAGGAATAGATGCGAAAACCTCGACTGCAAACACTCACCCCTGAGCCGCCACCCGGAAGTACAAACCCAGCGAAGCCAAGAAACAACAACATTAACAAATCAAGCCATCCAAAATGCCATCAAGGTCCAACAACAAAATCTAAAACCCCTGTGGGAAAAGAGAGAAAACATGAAAAGAACAACTTGCTAAGCCCTCCAAGAAACAAGCGTTGACAACAAAGCCTTGCTAAAGCCCTCAAGGCGAGGGGGAACCCAGAGAGCCCAATACCCCTTACTTAAGCAACATACCTGAAACTATAAGGGGCTTAATATTATGACTCAAGGTATAATTCCTGTAAGGGGCTTACTATTGTGGTTTAAAGTATAACTTCCTGAATTAGGGCTTATGCTAGAAAAACAGAATGATGATAGAATGCAGAAACAAAGGGGCACTTTTAACTCTCTTTACGCGAAAGTGTCTGAACGTTCACAGCTACGGCATTGCCTTCATGGCTTTCATCGCCTTCATGGC